AGCAATGATAGTTGAGTTATTGCAGAATACACAGGCCCATGGCAGAAATGTAAAAATTGCTCTGATCCTTGGGGAGCGTACAGGTGTAAGAGCTGAACTGGTTAAATGATCAGACTTCAGTGAACTGAAACCTGACTAGTTGCCATAGGAGACTGTACTTTTTATGTCATCACAGCTCTTTGCATCCTTTTATCAAATACGTTGATAAACTTGTTAAAAGTGTTCCCTGTGAAGTAATTATGTATGCCCGAAAGCGATTCATTTTTAACAAAATTGTTTCATTTACCAATTTATGCTAAAAGCTCCAGATCATTGCCATGAAAGAGTTGTGATAAGTAGCAGGACCATTTCATAAAAGCATTAGACTGCAAGCTACATTAGGGATTCTAATGTAAAAAAGGGATTCTGGGAACAGGTAATAGCTAATCTAGAACAGTATCTAGTGGGATGCAGATTGTTACTGCCTTACCAAGTGATGTTTTTTTTTATAAATACGCCAGGGTTCCTAAATGAGAAACAACACCATCAACAAACTTTCCATTTTTACAGGGTGTGTTCTGGGAAATATATACAGAAATATATACAGGAGAGCTCTGTTGACCACAGTGTTTAAGTAATAATAAATACGGAGATCCTTCATCTAAAGTAATACAAAAAATCTTATATCTGCCTATTGTGTAAGTGTCAGGAACCTAAAACAGGAACATCTACCTGCTTCTAGGTTTTCCAACAATTTTTCTCTCGTACTATAAAATGCTCTGCCGTTGATTCTATTCAGAGATCCACATACATGAGTAGATTTTGAATGTGTAAAACATTGCCTGAACAGAACTATAGCACTAAGTATCTGGAAACTGATATACTGATTGAGAATAACCAATGCCCGTTTTCTCCTTCAATTTCCAAACTTTTAGACCATCTCGCCTAGCACAGAATTTCTGGGCAATCATAACTAATCATAAACAGGGACTCGTTTTTTTTTTTCAAGATGTCTTACCCGAGATTCTCCTTCTCCTCTCCATTCAAGTCTATTGGGAAAGAGGTAAAAGTATCTTCGTTGCCACTGGGTCAGGAATGGGTTCCCTAACTTCAGCATATAGCCATGCATGATGCAGTCTTTTCCTAGTGCATAATCTGGGTAGTGTGAGAATGAGTGTCAGAATTACTGAAGTAAATAAACGTTACAGTACAAACCGTATATGAATATAATAGCAAAATAGATAGAATTGTTACATCTGGCAAAATGTTAAAATAACAAGGGGCAGAACGCAGCTTTTTAAAAATTCCATTTGCCTATACACATCCAAGTTTAACATCAGCTATGTATATCATTCTAGTGTTACAAAACAGATTTGCACAGTGGCATGCAGTGGTAATGGCAAGCTAACCATTCCTGTGGAAGCCATGCTGCACACTATGAAGAATATTAATGGTGAAGGTAACAACCAGGGCCATGTTACAAATAGTACTTACAACCACCCTACATAGGCAACCTTTGTATTCATTCACGTTTGTTGAATGCATTCTTGTGCCCTGAAAACTGTAGCAACAATGTTTACCTTCTTCATGTCCCAGTTGCTTGTTTTTGGCTCTTTTCCGAGCTTCGATCTTATCAGTATCTCCATTGACAGCTTCATAAACAGTTTCTGCTACTTCTTGTTGCCAGCGCTCAGATATAACCAGAGGGAAGTTCTTGTACAGCTCCTGATCGCTATCAAGCAACTACATAAAAAATGTCATGTGTTACACAGGATAAACAAGGACAAATGTGACAGTTCAGCTTTAGGAATACACAGAGACAGGGCAAAATCATCTTTATTGCTTGTGAAGATGAATTACGGAGAACCACTGCATACTTTAACATGTACATACTTTACTCAAAGGTCTGTGTAAAAGTTCTAAACCAAGTTGATAATTTTAAAGAACAATGCCAGGGTTTTGAAAAGTTAAAGGAGAATTATGAGACGAGTGATTTTCCCTCAACCTCATAGTTCGAGCCGACATGTAACAATGAAACTGTCACTCATTGGCTCAATAGATCGGGAAGTGAACGAACGCATATCGTCGCTCGCTCACTTCTCGATCATCTTCCTGCAGAGAGTGGTGACTGTCACTCACGGCTCCCTGCAGGGATTCTCCCCTTCCCGGCTCCGATTCTCCAGCGCTGACTGGTGGAACGGACGGGGGCAGGTACAGCTGGCTCTGCCTCTATATAGGCAGAACCAGCTGTCACTCATGCAGCTGGGTGGATCTCAACAGTAATGTCAGATCTGTCCTGACTGCGGCGTCTCAGTATACCGCGAGCTGTAGCTCACAATATACTGAGCTTTGGGTCACGGGGGGACGCTAGTTTATTTCCTCCCGTGACCCTTAGGAGAACTATGGGGAAAAACACTTACCCCATAGTTCTCCTTGCAGTGGCGCTGCCCCCAAACCGCAAGGGTTAACTGCTGGTTTTGGTCTACAGGTGAACATAAAGAAGAAAACTCATCCGATCCTCAGTCCTGTGGCAGTGACTGTTCACCTCTAACCCCCCCCCCCCCCCCCCCCCCGCCCCTGAATGCAGGTGTTTTTTCGTTGGTAGATCTCAATGAGCTCGTCATTTGAAAAGTAGAT